TTTGACGACTCCGACTCCGACTCCACAGCCCTGCTTAAAACGAAGACTTCTCACATTAATTCTATCAATTATAGCTGGACTTGGTAATAAATAAATAAAGATGTTAATGGTTAAAGAGAATAGTGGTGGGGAGGTGGGTTAAGTAGTTTTAGCGTTAGGAGGAAGGTTTCATGATCATATAGAAACGGGTTAAAAGTCGATAGTGAGTAATATTATTGGTGAGGTTGAGCACGTTTCAACATGTTATCTGGGATACTAGGAATAAATATAAACAACCTGCTGTTGGATTAAATTTCAACAAGCTAAATAAGTTCAGTATCCCGCTGGCCATCTAATGCCACACTCAGTTTATATCCAGCATTCGAGCGCTATTGCGCTTGTATTTTTATTTCTGGAATATGGCTCACAGAGATTGAGTAATTTCTCCCGACAGCTTTTGTTATGTTTGTGGTGAATACACAGTGAAAAGTCAACAAAGAAAAATAAGTGAGTTTGTGAAGAAAAATTAATTTGCATATTTCAAATTGAAACTTGGAGATCGAGACAAAGCAGATTTCTGGAAACAATAAGAGAAAAAGAAAAAGAAGCATGGGACTCTTTCAAGAATGTAGTGCATAAATTTTTAGGGAATACTAAGTACCCTGACTACAAAACCATTGTACAACGCATGCTGGCAGCAGCGTATGAAGCTCGAGGATGCGAGATGAGCTTAAAAGTTCATTTCTTACACTCCCATATTGACTGTTTTCCCGAAAACTTGGGAGCCTACAATGGAGAACAGGGTGAAAGATTTCACCAGAATGTCCGTGATATCGAGAGACGTGAAAAGGAAAATGGGATGTCAATATGTTAGCTGACTACTGTTGGATGCTCAATCGAAAAACCAGAGAAGGAAATTGGAAACGAGTTTGGAGAAGCATCAAAAATAAGAAAAATAGGTTTCATAAAAAAATGAGTAGACCTAAAATTGTGTATAAATATCAGAAACAATTTGTTGATTACAATGAACTAAATATATTATAAGAGTTTTTATCAAAAATTTGTTTTTATTTTGCAAAAAACCTTTACGTGATGGGATGTAACGGAAGTTACTTTTAGAATCTGTGATCTTTAAAACATATAATTCAGCAAAAATATTCCATGCAGCTGGAAAAAATATTTTTTTTGGAGGACCTGTGTTATTTTTTTGATTGCTTCATCTCATGCATTTAAATTTTAAATCGACCGATTTTAGATTGCCACGCGTACCACTTCACGCAAATTCGAGTACCCCCAGGGGTACGCGTACCACTAATTGGAAACCACTGGTCTAATGTATTTTAAATGCACTGTGTCCTGTGTACAACCGTTTCTACTCACCGATTCAACACAACTGGGATGCCTACATATTGCTCGAGTTTGCATAAAGTGTTTTGAATAACACTAAGTTTTCAGAGTTTTTTCTGATTTTATTTGTCTCATTTGTTAATTTCTTAACATGTTAATTAAATTCTCATTTGTTAATTTGTTAATATGAAGCATTCGATAATTAAATTCATTTGTTCTTCGTGGGACACCTCGTTAATTACGCAAATTTCTGCCACAATAGATATTTACCGTTGGAATTATATTCTCGATTAACATTTTTTAACGAAATTCATAAACAAAACTGTATTCAATTATTTCAATTAAAGCCGAGTACTGTTCCATAATACTTTAAAATTCAGTTTATTTCCGGAATAAATCATTGTAAATATTTCTAAAAATATTATCTCAAATAACTTCATGTTACATTTCACTAATGTTTGTCGTAGATGAATTTAAACTATTGCCTTCACTTGTGGCATCAATTCGTTGTTTAGAGTTCTTCTGTTCGACAGTTAACCGAACTTCGTCATTAGTCTTCTCAATAGATTGAAATGTACAGTATTTAGAAAAAAAGCAATTTTTTTTTATCGTTACATTGCGAAAAGATGTCAAGAAATACATGATGTAATTTAACTATAAGTTTCTAAATTTGGTTTGGAACAGTTCTATTTGAGTATCGTCTGCTACATGAATTCCAGCGCCTATCCTTTCCTTAAGCTTCATAATTTTGGACTTAAGGACATTTCGTTAACGCAAACTTAAGACTCTCCATGATAACGAGTAATAATAAAAGACAACTTAGTTTCTCGAGCGTAGTGAATCCTGTTTCTGCGGAGTTAATGCAGAAAATGTGAACACCAATCCACGTAGTAGAAAGTTTCAAAGTGTTCAATCCACTACACCAGTGGTCCCCAACCCCCGGGCCGTGGATCGGTACCGGTCCGTGGATCAAATGATACCGGGCCGCCCAAGAAACATTAAATTATTTCCATTTTATTTACTATGGTATTTCCACGAATTTGTGTGACTTTTAATGGACGACGGAACGACGGAATAAACTGGGCATAAGAAACACACTTCGGGTGTCATTGTCTCCTATTACCCCCAGATGGAACCGCCTCGTTGCAAAGAAACAAGCTCAGGGTCTCATTGATTTAGCGTTCTAGTGAGTTAAAATTTTAAATCACATTATATTCATTTTTTGGTGTAACTGTATATTACTTTTAAGGCATTTTTAAATACAATTAAATTAAAATAAGGAATACAGGAAGGGGTTAAATTAAATTAATCTAAAATATAAACAAACAACGTTCCCCCCTCAGTGGGCCGCGGTAAAATTATCAAACGTTGGCCGGTCCGCGGCGATCGAAAGGTTGGGGACCGCTGCACTACACCATCCGCCTCCACGGACCAAATGTTTACGTTGAGAATGGACTGTATATGAAATCACAATAATTGCGGAACAAAACGATAATTATTCATTTAAACTCTCGTAAATTATTCAGGCGATACGGTTTGAATCCCTCTTGAATCCGGTACTGTAAACAAGATGGCGACAACGACAGACGACTCGCCGAAAAGCGCGCGAGAAAGCGCCCTCTCACAATAACAACAAAATAAATTTTCCGAATAATAAATAAATAACGTAATACATCACATAATTTCTTTTAGTTGTTAAAGTGTAATTTTAAAATTAATATAGTTATTTAAAACTCCTAGGAAAATTTTAAAAATTTTTATCTTCCTTTCTGCTATCGAAATATTAATTTTTAATTCGGCTGTTCTCATTAAGTAAGTTCAAAAATACGTTTAACGTAACGTGGAATTTTATGTCGTTCGCCATTTTTCTTGCTTTATTTCACCATATTTGCGGCAGTTAGCGTTTGTGTTCTGTCGGAAAGACAAACTTTTCCGTCACTTCCGGAACATCTCACCCGATGGACGACGAGATTTTGCACAAAACTGCCTTCGGTTCTGGACGTCATTTCTTACCTTTCTGCCCGAACTTGCCGCCTGATTTCACGAAATCGGTAGGTGCTCGAGACATCCATCGAGACATAATTTTAGTGAAATATGTTTGATTTCTCTCAATAATCTATAAATCCCTATCAATATATATTGTATGTTTATGAGAAAATTTGCAGCTTTGTTTTTTAAAAACAGTACATTAAATTCAAATATAAAATTTGTGTACATAGCTTTATTATAACATGAATAAGCAATATGAATATATTAGGGGTTTTATTTTAAAAGATTACCCTAAGCAAAGAACTTCGTATTTATTCATATTACAAAATTATATTTATTAATCAGAGAAAGTAAAATTACATACCAGAAAAATATACGAGAGAAAACACCAACTGTATCGAATGGGTTACTTTTCTCCTTCCTCTCCATTCTCATCTACACTTTTCTATGCACTGCATATATAGTACTACTCGTCAATCTTACACATCTATTAGATAACGTTTATTATAATATTTATGTTCAAGTGTAAAAGTTTAGCGATTTATTTGCGTTCAGTAAACCTTAAAGTTCCTAAAGATGTTATATCAATATAAAGTTAAAAAATTTTGCTGCGCTATCAAATATGATATTTCGTTAAAAAATAATTATTATATTGTAATTATAAAATAGCAAAAAGCTGAATTTTGAAGGTTGAGCCAGGTTTTTATCAAAACTCGAAAATGCTATTAAGCAAAACAGATTATGATTAAATTTGACCCCACTCGAAACACGACACAAGTTCCTTCTATCTTTGCACCTCGTTGTCGTTTAACCACCAAAATTTAATATCGATGTCCCTTACATACAAGCTACCGTATTAAATTTTTTTCCTTGATCATTACAGTCGACCCCCCTATAACGCCGTAGATACGTTCCACGTTATACGAATTACGCGTTGTAGGAATCCTTAAATACATGAGCCAATCACATCCTGCCACGTATACACTTTACGGACTACAGCTGTTTGAAAGGTTTTCTTCCATAAAATTAATCGATTCCTAGACTAATTCGACTCAACATTTCCAAAACACGTATATTTTTGGGAATAATCCGTATAAACTATGCTATAAACAAAAAATTGTAGGATTGCTTACCGATGGTGTACGAGAGTGTCGCCATTGCTTAAGCTTGTTTTCGTCGCGGAGCAGCGCACCGAACGGCGGACGCGATTTCTGATAAGTTATTTTTCTGCGAAAACTTTGTTGAATTTTGGAGTCATCTTTAATTAATATAAATAATTTTTATGGCCGTTGAATAAGAAATGTTTCTTTTACAAGAAATGTATAAAATTAGTGCTGTATTAGTCTTACGGTACCTAATTTACATACTGTATAGACGATAGTAAACTCAACTTACTCGTTTAAACTCGCCGTAGCGTGGCGCTGGACGGCTGTAAGTAATTCGGATGCCCGATAACGTTTTACCGAATTATAGCAGTTTTTTACCATGTTTGTACAGATACCGTCGCAATTTTTTCGCCGTCATATAAAAAACGAACTATAGGAACTCGTGTTATAGGGGGTCTACTATACTTCATCCCGAAATATTAAACGAAATAGATAATTTAAGTTCATATTTTTGATTTAAATTACATAGATCGATTGACTGTTAGAAACTGGAACAAAAATAATTCAAGAGCAAACGAATTCTGAAAAATTTATGCTAATTTTATTTTTATTTAATACCGTAATGCAAATTTTTGCTGGAATACATATTTAGTATTGGAATTAAATTTTCAATTAAGATTTCCTGAAAGAATTCATAAACAAAACTTCTATTAAATTATTTAAATTAAAGTCATTTACTTTTCTTTAATACTTGAAAAGTCACTTCATTTCTTAAATTAACCATTGTAAATATAGCTAAAATATTATCTCCTATACTTTCTGATTACTGTCAGTAATGTTTATCACAGTTTAACTCACAAATGTTTACATATTATTAATTTTATGTTTAACATGATGTGCGGAAATACTAACTTAATGTTTAAGAACTTAAATTAATATTTCTAAAAACAGAGTTAAAAAACACACAACACCGTATCTATAAAAGATGGATATACATTAAAGACAATCCACTGTTTTATAGTTTTGTTTGTTCGACCCTTTCTTTAGCGTAATATTTCTCTTTGGCAATTTTGTATAATTCATTCATTGAAGTTACTCCCGTCTTCTTTACCAAGTTATAAAATATACCATTTACGTTCTTCAGTAATGCATACGGCGAGTCAAATTCTTGTAGTTTTCCTGTATCTAGTACCTAAAATTTGAAAATATGTAATTAAGAAAGCATTTATTTTTATATTATTAAAAAAGGTATCTTACCAGCACTCTATCCGAATCGATGATTGTGTTTAATCTGTGGGCTATTGTCAACACAGTACAAGATTTAAATCTTTCTCGAATTATTTTCTGTAGACAGGAATCGGTCCTTAATAAAAAATAAACAAAATATACCTCATAATTGAAAATATTAATATCAGTATAAAACACAAAAGATGTATGAAAATAGTAAAATTGACTTCAAAACATCAATATCTACAACGTTTCATAAAAACTCACAACAATTATCATACCCGTGTTTTTCATTTTCCGTGTTTCAATTATAATAAATGTTAATAAGGATTTTTTTTCGATAAACAATATCTCACAAAATACAAAACTTTCTGAGTTAAACTAAATTGTTTATTACGACAATAGTGGAAACTTCTGCTGAAAACAGGCGACAATCTTTTTCCCGCCATCTAGTGGTTCGAGGTAATAACTACACTACACTCCATTTGTACAGGGTGTATAAGAAGACGTTTTTGGATATTAATATAATGTTTTGAACATTTTTTATCTCACAATAATTAGAATGGCCAGAAGAGGGGCTATTTGCGGTATGTATAGCTGCGTTAATTATAAAATATAAAGTGATGCCAAGTCGTTTTACAGATTCCCTAAAAACAAACAAATGTAAGTAAATTAATAAGCAATTAGATTGTTTTAATTTATATCGGCATTTCCCTTTTAAAATATTGTTATTATTGAACATATGTGTTCATATTAATTTTCAGATGCACACAGTGTGTTATTAAAAGCAAAAGATGCAATTCAGACAAGATTTTGAAAACGAAAGGGCAAGAATACTTAAATACAAATTATGTTGTGTGTTTCGACCATTTTACGGAAAAGAATTAACTTCAGAAATATCATCATTATTTCAATAGATGTTTGTTACAGAGCCCATATTCAATTAAAAAGTGAGTTAATTAATTATTTCTTAACGAATGTAAATATTAAAGGTGTTTGTGACAATTGTGTTAAATTATTGGCAGATAAATAGTTCAAAGTCCTTATTAAAGTGTATGTGACAAAAAATAACGATTCATCTAAAAGTTTTCTGAAAACAAAAAATGTTAAATATTTCACATATGTAATAACTGTATTATCCATGGCAAGTTTTGTTAGACTTTACATATTCTGCGGTGTTAGTGTCCTCCTCGAACCGCTAGATGTCATTAGTTCGCGCTGCCGCCATTACTGTACATGCTAATTCACGAGAGTTTCTACTATTGTCGTATAAGCTATTTGATTAACTGAATTAATCGTTCGTAACAAATGGGAGATTTTTCTAAACACATTGCCTTTAGGAAGGACTTTGAATTATAAAGGTCAAATGGTTGAGGAATCGCGAATCCACAACCAGATGCAATGTTTATTAGCAGTGGCGTGACGTTTTTGGAAGCGGTGCTTCCTTCCCTTGTATTGTCTGAAATATAAATACATATTGCGAGATTATTTTCATATATTATAAATTTCGTTACATTAAAATATTTGACACTTTTATTCTGCTGTGCCGTCTTATATTACTTACGGATTTCAATTTTAAAGTAGTGATATTACGAATTAGTATGTTCCATCAATAAAGAAATTCGTAAAAAACACGTACAATTCTTGTACAATGTTGAAAAATTAACTGTTACTTTGACAGCATCATTAACAACTAAATTTAATGAATGAGACGCAGAAGGTACTAAAAATGCCCTAGAATTTACATTTCTTAAATTTACGATTTATGTACTTGTTGTCATAAAAATTTCTCTCTCCACTTCTTTCCCAAGACTACAAATATTCGAAAACAAAGTAACTGGTTTCGACTTATTTCTACTTAAAAAGTAGTTAAATAATTAAGAGATTAGAAAATTAGTGACCAGGGCCGGATGCAATAGGTGCGAGGCCCAATTAAACTTTTTTTTTACTGGGCCCCTCAAACTTTTAAAAAAATTATTTAACAGTTAATTTACATATTGAAGTATAGATTTTAAATATATATTTAAAACAAAATGCAAAATTTAATTCTAAAATTCAAAAGTCATGAACCATAAGGTAGACAAATTTCTACATTAAAAAACCTGTACCAAATATATAAACAAGTACATTTTATTGACTATAATAATACATAGATATGTTTTTGTATTTCTATATTTTTAAATCAGGTCCAACCCGCGGCCCAATACACGTGTAAAAATACCGGCAAATTTTTTAATTGTTTATTTATTTCAATAGCATAAACCCAAAAGAAAGTTTTGCAAAGCCGTAAACATTTATACATATTTTATGTTTTAATAGAAAGCAGTGGCGTAGGGTAGTGGGGCGGCGGGGGCGGTCTGTCTCGGGCGGCACTTTTAGGGGGCGGCAAAATTTCACAATAAATAATAATAATATCTTGTAAAAATTTAAACCATTTCATTTCATATTTTTGTCGCACCTACGATTCGGACCGATTGAAATGAGCACGGAATTTCTCATTACTTATTCCGTGACGAAACTGAATTTTAGACATTTAAATTGAAATACCTAAATAAGGGGGCGGCGAAATTTTCCTTTGCCCCGGGCGGCTGACACCAACGCTACGCCACTGATAGAAAGGAAATATTTTGAAATACTCGGAATGTGTGAATGAGGAAGGAATATTAAATTAAGCTGAAGTCGTGACTCAAAGGATTATATCCCTAATTCGATAAAGGAGAGAAAAGCCAAACGATAAAACGAAGTGAGAAAGGTTGAAAAATTAAAGATCAATATAGGCATAACAGAAGGTCTATTTAACCTTTCTTACTTCTTTATTTTTTGAGCTTTCTCTCCTTTCCCCCGAATTTGGGTCTATAATCCTTTGAATCCGAACTCTAGCTTTATTTAATATTTTTTTCAGCTTTGAAAAATTTGGCTACTTTGCGACAAATTTGTCTACCCTGTTTTTAGTTTGGCATAAAAAATATCACGTGGTGCGTTGGCTACATTTTGGTACATATTATTTATAAATATATTAGTTGAATAAAAATGCACTTTAAAATGGTGTTTCGTTGTTTTTTTTATTAATTAGAGACCCAAATAAAACAAATATTTGTGTTTTTCAAATAAATTTTTGTTTGTCTCCTTTATAATAAATAAATTTATCTATTTCTAAGTAGAAATTGAAAGTGTCTGTAGAAGTAATTTTTTAAAATATTNCCCCGGGCGGATGACACCAACGCTACGCCACTGATAGAAAGGAAATATTTTGAAATACTCGGAATGTGTGAATGAGGAAGGAATATTAAATTAAGCTGAAGTCGTGACTCAAAGGATTATTGCCCTAATTCGATAAAGGAGAGAAAAGCCAAACGATAAAACGAAGTGAGAAAGGTTGAAAAATTAAAGATCAATATAGGCATAACAGAAGGTCTATTTAACCTTTCTTACTTCTTTATTTTTTGAGCTTTCTCTCCTTTCCCCCGAATTTGGGTCTATAATCCTTTGAATCCGAACTCTAGCTTTATTTAATATTTTTTTCAGCTTTGAAAAATTTGGCTACTTTGCGACAAATTTGTCTACCCTGTTTTTAGTTTGGCATAAAAAATATCACGTGGTGCGTTGGCTACATTTTGGTACATATTATTTATAAATATATTAGTTGAATAAAAATGCACTTTAAAATGGTGTTTCGTTGTTTTTTTTATTAATTAGAGACCCTAATAAAACAAATATTTGTGTTTTTCAAATAAATTTTTGTTTGTCTCCTTTATAATAAATAAATTTATCTATTTCTAAGTAGAAATTGAAAGTGTCTGTAGAAGTAATTTTTTAAAATATTCTTTTTCGATAACCCGGCAGTCCAGATAACTCGGCCACACCTTAACAGGACGAAAAATCCGCTAGTTAATATTCATTATAGACAAATTTATGCCTCATAAAGCATTTTTCTGAAATCTGTCTTATCAAGTAAATTAATATACACTGTGTATTCATTAACTTTCAGTTTCTTGTAGTAAAGGCTCTATGCCTTCATAAAGTACGTACTTTACTTTTGTTTAAGGGTATTTGGGCACTTTATTCTCTGTTGTATTCTCAAGCAAATTATACCTACAAGTACAGTACAGTATTTTCCGAGGAAACACTCTTACTTATTGTTTTTAACTCCATTTTCGATATCCCGGCATTTTCACAAACTCGGCCACCCTTCGGTCCACATTAAGCCGAGTTTTCGGGACTCTACTGTATTTACTCATAATTCTGTAAAAAGTTTATTGGAGATTCCTGTACGTGCGGCATAGAAAGATGAGAGCATTACAAATATAAGTCTAATCATTAGATATAAGTTCTTTTGGACTGTAAAAATATAACTGCGATAACCGTAACAACGTTGATTACATGAAAAAAAAGCATTCTCTTGCCTTTGTAATAAATAACGGCTGCCCTATAAAGTAGTACATTCTTTATTTTCCATGAGTATTGTCTTTATACAAGTATTTATGTCAAATTATTGCATTATTGAATAAAAAAAGACTTCTCTTCCTGTAATTATTGTCTCCAAATAATAGCTGAGAGACTTCCTAACAGCATATTTCAAATAATATTTTATACCGGATCGTTAGTACAGTTTCCTTACATACCGTATAATTATATCAGTGTTAATAATTATCGATTCTATCAACGAAACCAACCTTTCGCGTAGCACTGTTAATCAGGTAATAGAATTCTCGAAGGCTTTCCTGATAGATAAGTTACATTGGCAGAGTTGTTTAAGAAGAGACAGATAGCAATCAATTTCAGAAACACTGATTACGCTTATTGAGAGCAGCTAAATATATGACAGTCTACTGTCTAAATATACTGCAAACCTGTACTTCGCAAGTGTCTGTTACACAGAGATTGATCAATATTAGTTGAACTACGGAAAAGATATGTGAGTTCTAAGAAAAAAAAAAACAAACAGATTTACGTGTCTCATACTACTAGATAGTATCAGTTACCTAGCTCTTAAATTGCCTTTGCTATGTCTGAATGCCCTAGCTTATATCGATTTAACGGATATTCCATTTCCTTTCGTCAACATATCAGCAATTATGCTGAATTTCTTCTCATCCTATCGAATATTTTCAACATTTATTTAACTATTTTAAATATGTTTTTTTGTCATGTCAATTATCTCACCGACGTTATGCTTCAGTCACAGTTCCTTCAGTCCACATTGGACAAAATCTCAAAGGCGGCTGCTTTTAACGAGCTACTCCAATTTTTTTAAGACTTTCCCACTTGAATAAGAACTGATTTTATTTTATTATTTTTTTATTTCTTAATTTTTGATTTACTTAACTTTATTTATTTACTTTAGTTTCGTTTCGTTTAATTAAATTTCTTTATTACAACGTTTTTTTATCTGTATTTTTCATCATATTTTTTTCCTTCCTCAACAATAAATTACTTATACTCTATCATCTGTGACGTATTAGTGCTAAAACTGCTCGCCCAGGCTAATTACACCAATAAACATAGTCTCGAGTTTTTCGATGTCTCCTATCTAGTGTCCTACATAACCCCAAAATATTAATTTATTTTCTATATATCAATTAACTTTTACCTACGTCCGACTTACTGGCTTTACACGTAGTGCCGACTGTTAGAAAAACAAAATTTTAAATTAATAAAGTAAATATTATTCATAAAAAAGTAATAATTTTAAAATAAAGAAATTTTGTGTTCAATTAAGTAGTTTGTGAACTGACCACTAAACTGACAATTTCAAATCTCCCAGAAAACTACCATCAATTTGGCGACCGCTGTGCTATAGTATTACTCTGACGGATAGCAAGTGGCATGCAGGTGTTTGAGTGGAAAGTGTCACACTGTAACAAGCTATATTAGTATTTGGCTTTCAAACTGTAACAACCTAATTAATTTCTGTCTACATCAGTGTAGGAAGTGCGACAACCACACGACATTACTTGTTTCTTCATTGAAATTCCATTTTAAATTTAGTGACTTTTAACTATTGACTTACAACGAAAGTTTCCAGTGAATACAGTGTCAAAAAGTAAGAAATAAAAATAATTGTGCTATACAAATTTTATATATATAATCATGAATAACTGTCATAAAAGCTTATACCATTCTTAACTGGAAGTATGTAGACAAAGGATAATTAACACATACAATTGAATTTGTCATGTCAGGAAAACGTCTTTACATTTCTAAGTTATTACTATTATTTTTTTCTGTTAAAGTCTAGTAGTTACATATAAGGACGCGAGTATTTTTCTTCTTGAATAAAACTTTTTAAAAAATGAATAATTTTGCATTTAAAACTAAGTGTAATAAGTTACTTAAATTATAAACCTGGATTTCTTAATGCCTGGTTCTTTTTGACCTATAAATATAAAAAACCTTTACATTCATGCTGATTTAGGGCCAAATCCAAATGAGGTTGAACATATTTTGACATTATCGTGCATAATATATTTTTCAGTGTTGCTCAGAATTTCATTCCAGATTCCCAGGGCACCACACTGCATATCGTCTATCTGATTATTGACATAACATTTATGTAATCATTCTGAATATGAATAGTCTTAAGCCTGGACTCCACATTACCTGAAAACATAAACTCAGAAACAGAACTCAAACGTAGAATTTTGTTTCAGTTATGTTTTCGTTTTAACTTGACTCCACTAATAATTGAAAAGATCACTAACCAAAACACAAAGACACAAATATCTAAAAGTTTGCAAAAAGTTATAATCATTGTCTACGCAACACAAAACTAAAAACAAACTTAATTTATATTATGTCAGTGTTCTTCTTAAACTACAGGAGTGAGTAAATAAACTATTACATATAAAACCTTTTTAACCAGTAATTTATAACTGTTATTTTAACGTAATTTATAACTGAAATTAGATAATATTTTCTATTTCAAGTGTTCAAACCTTTTATCGATATTGGACGTTGCTTCGTCCATGACGAGAATTTTATTGTGGCGAAGAATGGTTCTGGCCAGACAAATTAATTGTCTTTCTCCCACGCTGAAATTTCTCCCTCCTTCCGTTAAGTGCGTATCCAATCCTCCAGGTAATTTACTAATAACTTCTTTTAACTGTACCTGTAATTCAGATGTTTTTGAAAGTAAATACAAGTTAATTAAGTTTAATAGTTAAAGGAATTAGAAAAAAAATCAGGGACCAAATTGAAATGTTTGTTTAATTCTAACCTCTTCCATGACTTTCCACAGAGTTTCTTCCGAATATTCATTGAAGGGATCGATGTTTCTTCGAAGAGGACCGGTAAACAACATCGGATCCTGAAAAAATATGCCGTGTTAATCTCTTTCTTTTATAATAATTTTAATTACATATTAAATAATATGCGTTACAATTACAAAAAAGCTAGATATTAAAAATATATCATTTCAATGTTTATAGAATACGCACAATGCCTTTATCATTAATGCATAAGCGATGCTGCCATTATCTTTTTTCAGTACTTGTATTAAAGCATTTTATATAAGTTTGAACTTCCAACGATTCAAATCGACTGCTAAGAAATTAACGAATTAATATGATTTTCATGTTTTGATTTTTAATTAATTACGAAATGTCATTAATTCGGAATCAGAATATTGTCAGATTATAAAAAGTAAGGAATCATCGAGAAACATGATCATCTGGCATCATTAAGTAATCAGACAATTCAAACTATCGGCTAATTTTTATAGAGACAGATTTATACACTTTTCAGTTGTAATTGTTAGAATTCTGACGACGACACAGATAAATTTATCGGATATAATTAATTAATTAATTCTCTTACTTCATTTAAATATAACTTTATTATCGTTACCGCAAATAGAGAAACTTTATTCTTTTGAGCCAATCTTTTCGATTTCATCCGTAAGTGAAATCAGTATTATAAGTGATATTAATAGACAAATAGTAATTTTAAAGAATAATTGCTGTTAGTGTATGATTGATTTTCATTAAAATTACATGGTTTTTTTTATAAAAAGTAAATTTATTCATTCACACGTTTTCTATAAATAAACAATATGAAATTTTATGTAGATTCTTGTGAAGAAATATGTAAAACTGTTAATCTCAAAATCACATTTTATATAGAAATTCAAATAGGTAACAATTAACGAAATTCACTCAGCAATCACTTAGCAAATAATATACTACACAACTATACCTAAAGATGACAAAAAAAGTTTTTTAAACGTAACTAACGTTTTCGGCCTATTGGATAGGACATCCTCAGGTTATCGAGAGAAAAAATAACCGTTTTAAAATTAGACTATATAAAATTCTGTATATATTCATACATGTATATATATATACATGTACACACACACACACATATATATATATACATGTATGAATACGCAGAAAAAATTTATAAGGGCAAGCTAGAGCTTGCCTTTATTAATCTTTTCTGCGCTCTTCGCTAAACTCGAAAGTTTACGGTCTTAACGATATCTGCTTCCTTCCATTTCACTATGAAGCCTTCAGCCTGCACCATCTGAAATAATACAGTGGCATTCGATTCCTTATTGACACTATATTTGTGCTTTTTCAACCTGATTTCCAAATTTTTTTTAGTAACACGAATATAGTTCTGCTTGATTCCTAATTCCTTCTTTGCGTAAGGAATCACGTACACTCCTGCTTTCCTACTTTACTAATGCTATCCTAGTCATTCCTTAATACCTTATAAAAGTTCGGAGCTGTTTTCAAAATCATTTCGCACTTTTTACGGTTTGAAATTTATTTCACGATGGCTTTCGTACTTCTATCATACGTGAACTTTGTGATTTCATCAATATTGCCGCATGGAATATTTATTGTGACCATTTTGTACTTTTTAATTAATCCTGTTATCGTATCTGCTCTGTATCCTAGACTCCTGGCTACTTGCAATATTCTGTTTATCTCCTTCCGTGTATCAACTACACTACTATAATACAGAAAGGCCTTTCTTATGAGAGCTCGAAAGGTAAAGATATCGGTAATCGGACCATTTGAGTGTGATAGGATTAAAGCGGTCTATGCGCCTGTTGACGTACACACTAGTGATCAAATGCCCTTCTTTGAATTCAATATTTATTTATAAAAAAATGTACCCTTGAGAAACCTTTCTGTGACCAGAAGGTAGGCCCAGACTGGTGATACCTATGTCAGAACTGACACCACTGTGTCTTATATAGGCAGACAGAGAAACCAGTTGGCTGCAGTTTCGGTTTTGCGCCAGCAGTCACGCATAAAGACACAAGGGGTCCGTGATGGAGACAGACAATGAGGCAGAGAAAAGTGCAAACTCCAACTTAATTATAACGAAAAATAATACCCGTTTATTTATGTAATCTATTTAAACATATGTTTACAATGACATTTCGTTTAACTTTTATATACAGCGGCAAAATAGATGAACTCTAGTAGATAAAACTAATAAATACTGGATAAAAGTGATATAGCGTAACATAATCTATTGGACTTTTTACTAGTAAATATGGAGTTCCTAGCCGAGGAGCTTACATTATTACATGTGATGCTAAATATTTTAATAACTGATTTATGGGTCGATAATTAGATAGTAGATTGTTGATGAAATTCGTGTACGTTATGTCGGCTTGTCAGGTTCTTGAATCGAGAAGTTCGAATGATCGGTGAACGGCAACATTCGACAGAAGCGACGGTCAAAGGGATCGGCGATAGAGCACAGTTATATTACACTTTCTTGGGAACAAAACTGGGTCGATGAACTCTCGGACTTCCAACGACCTTCTTGTCCTCGATTTAATCCTGTTATATTGGGGGTCGCCCCTTTGGTTTCGATGCCTTCTTTTTAGCCATTTTGAATCAACGATGAATAATTGAAGTTAATTCCTAGTGACACATTCTATGAGTCTCTTGAGAAAAGAAGTCACTCCGGAGAAAGAGATGTGATCATACTCCGGTAATTAAATTAAAAATTTCTTTTTCGCTGGGATTTAAATTAATTTAAATTTGAAAACAGAAATTTTTGATGAAAAAATTTCGTGTAAATCTGGCTTACACATTTCTGTTCACTCTTCAACTTAAGCTTGTCATTGTTATTATTCACCTTACCAATAAACTCATTGATTTTTGAATCATTCCTCCAGAGTACAAAGACTTCTTAATTTTAATTCAACAATAGGGTTTTGTCGACTCTAGCAAAGTGCCGCCCGGGGCGGGAGAAGCTTAACTTAAGAGTGGCGTAGCATAGGACTTGAGGGGACCGTTAATGGTTCCTCTAAATTAGCGATTCGCAACCTGTGGTACGCGTACCCCTAGGGGTACGCGATAGGTTGTTCAGGGGTACAGAAAAAAGTTAGTTATTATGGCAGAAAAAATAATATATTATGTATCACAAACTAATAGTATTAAAAAATTAATAGATAAAATATGTTTATTGCAACAACCACAACTTTATTATACATTTTTTCATTTACTTTTTTCTCTTTAATTTAAAGTTACAATATGTAAAATTAACAATACGGGTACTCGCTAAATTTCTAAAATGAGGGGTACAATCTAGAGATATGACGTGTCACGGGGTACGCTAATGAAAAAAGGTTGGGAACCACTGCTCTAAATAGTCGAAGTCAGTTAAATCACTCAATCCGATCGCATCCGCGAACGGGATCGTCGTGGCGTCAAGTTATATATTCTAGGATTGAAAGAAAGGTCCGAATGTCGTTATCACTAGTTTATTCCCGATAATTACGACTCTATGTACAGAACAACGCCGATCATGTAGACAAGGGTCTGAGAGCACGAGATGAACGTCCGAACTTGAACACGTCGAATCAAAAAGTGTTAACCTCGACCTCTGACGTCACGCCGGTTGGGGACGGTGGTCAGGCGCAGTGTTGCTGACCGCCGCAGACTCTTCGCCCCCTACGTTACACCACTGTTAAGTTCTGTGGGGTCCACAACAGCGAGGTACACGGAAAGGGAGAAGACTCCAAATATCTGGAACAGACCCCATGAAATATTTTTGTGTACTTTACTTTGTTCTGATTTGATCTCTGGTTTATGCAATAGTAGGTTGTGTGAGCTCGCGGATTTTATCGGGCTTCTTAAAAATCTAAATTTTCTGTTAATTATCTTCGGAAAACCCGAAGAATTTGTACTAATCTGATTTCACCGATTGTATAACGACTAGCTGAGAAAGTTTACACTTATGTGTGAAAAATGCACCGTCATCGTCAACAAGAGTCGATGACGTGTCAGCTCTATCGCGACAATGATATAAAAAGGGAGACCACCGGAAGCTCGAGAGTTCGCTCACGGAGGTTATATTGGGTTATAGTGATTTCACGTATCCCGCATCGGCAGAAGACATCGACCAAGCCCAACCCTGGCATAAAGAACTGTTGTCGCCACATATAGTACTTGGAGGTAATTATTTTGAACCAGAGAAAGGATAGATTGTAAACGCGTCAGTAGCGACTTACGTTATCCGCATTTATTCGTAGATGTAGCCATTCTATTGTAACCTTTTTGTATGCTTAGTTAGTTATATAATAAATGCTTGTTTAGTTTTAAACCTGTCTCCTGTCAATTAAGGACGCCTGCCGACTTGCTCACCTCCCTCGCCACTCGATTTGCCCTCCTAGCCATCCAACAGACTCCGAGATCGGGTTTAACCAGCCTGTGCCGATTAAGTGGTCAGTAGGAGATAAACCCCTGACCCACGGCTTATCTCACAGTTGACACCTACAGAGTTTAACCATACAGATGAAGTACATCGACAAGGAATATATTTTAAAAATTAAAATTTTACGAATGAAAGAAAAAAAAACATTTTTACATAAAAAATATGAAAATTATAAACCACGAATTATGTTGACTGAATTAGTGTTTATTTACTTGAGGAATGATAGATATTTTACTACGTAGATCTCGAAGACCGATTTCCTTAGTGTCGATTCCATCGATGGTGATTGTTCCCGTTGGCTCCGTCATGCGAAATAACGAAGCAATTATTGAACTCTTTCCAGCTCCTGTTCTCCCGACAATTCCTATCTGTAATTAATAAATAAGAAAACCATTTTACACAATAATTACTTACAATGCTCTTCTGATTTGTAGACGTTTTACCTTTTCTCCAGAGCCAATACGAAAAGTCAAATTCTTTAAAACGATGTTTTTATCCTCGGAGTATTGTAAAGAAACATTATCGAAATGAAATACTCCTGTTTGGGGCCAGTCCGAAGGTGGTCGTTTTTCGGGCAAACTTTCGTATGAAGCTTCCGATTTCAATTTGCTATATTTCAGAATGCGCTTTACCGAGTTCATCTGAAAAATTTTCGTTTTATAAAGTAAAACAGACTATGAAACTTGTTGAGGTAACAAGTTATATTATCTAAGATTATATATTATATAGAGATTATATTGCATGCGGAACCTCAATGACACTAATGATTGGAATATTTTTATTCGAAGTGGGGTGGTAAACATCTTAGTTTTTGTTGTGTATGTTAAAGTTTCAATTTGATGTCATCTTGGATGAATTTCGAGCAGTAATTTTTTGAGCAGCTAAAAATTGGTTGTTTCTTAAAAATGGTAAAATATAGATATTTCGCCATTGTGGACGAGACTATGTCTTGTCTATAAAATCGCGCTGCTGTCAACGGCTGGATACGTTAGAGGTGTGAAGGAATATAGGTCAGAAGTTTATATTTTTTACAGAGTGTTTGGTGCCCAAATCATGCGCACATAAAAAAACAGACTTGTAGATAGTCAGGGACCGAGAAGCGGGTCAAAATAAAATACAAAATGGCGACATTGTTTCTACAAACAGACAAAAGTGCGAGATTTGCGTATACGTTGCTCGTGATAATTTCAAAATGCGAACGTTGCGAAATCAAATTTTCACAAACGTGTGAAACAAGTTACGAATGTATTCTCTCGCTCTGGTCGTTTCGCAGGATGGCGAAAACATTGGGACAATTCGGGTACAAATATTTTCCAGCTTTTCGTAGCCAAAAACTTGCCCGTGACAACGCAACTAGTCGTAACCACGGCGGCAACAAAGCCAACTGTAATCTACGCAAGGACCCCGAGTACCGATGTTGGCATTGCTCATTTTCTGTTTTCCTTAGAAAAAGGAGCGCAGTCGAGCCCTTAATCTCCGAGACATAGTCTTTTCCCGAAAATAGCCTTTCCGTTTTACATGTTTTAAAAATAATTTTGACAAACTTTTACGATAATCGAGTTTTTTAAAAGAAAACTTGCTGTTTATTTCTGTTCAAAAGTAACTATGAATAGGCAAAAATTAAAGCGAAAAAAACTGGTGTCTTCTAGTAATATACATACAATAGTGCTAAACATAACAATTAATTATTAAACAATTACTAGCTTTTTAAACAAATAACACCAGAATTATGAAACGAACACCCGAATTCACTTATTGGACTTTATTTTATATGTATTCTTTTTACCTAGTATTTTCCTTTCCTTTCCAAGAAGTTTACCTTGGTCGAAACTATTGGATATGGTCCGATAAAGCAATTGGCTGTTCGTTTGATATTTGGATTAATTATCGGGTTGGTTCGATATGCAATACCTGAAAGTCCGTTTCAGATGCTAATGTAATAAAGTATTGAATATTCGTAGTTATTATTATTCCGTAATTTAATGCAAGTCCAATTTTGCCTCCTGCGTCACCTAAATCAGCAAATATTAATTTTAAAAATATTTATATTATAGATTTCAGACATTAAAATATATTCACTCACCTGAATTATTTAAAACAATGAAAATAATAACAGTAATAATTAAATTTATGAAAGAAATTATTTGACAGTATACGAAAAGCCATCGAAGTAAACACAAGTGAATAAACAACGTTGAAGTATGCTTATCCTGATACGAATTAAACATGGATTTAAATTTGCTTTCAGCTTTAAATGCTCTAATTGTCGTCAGTCCGTAAAGAGATACACTCAGATGTGAAAATACTGGACTTCTCACTGTCAAAAGAAATTTGTATATATAATTCAAGTATTTTACAANTATCCTGATACTAATTAAACATGGATTTAAATTTGCTTTCAGCTTTAAATGCTCTAATTGTCGTCAGTCCGTAAAGAGATACACTCAGATGTGAAAATACTGGACTTCTCACTGTCAAAAGAAATTTGTATATATAATTCAAGTATTTTACAAGGTTTGCATTATAGAAGCGAATTATTACATTTAAGAAGGCACCTAAACATATTTACTATGTTCAGGTGATGTTATAATAAAAAATTGGTGTCATAGTACATACCTGACCAACCGAAAATATTGCCGGCGTTTTCTGTCATTTTGATTGTTTCAGTTTCAAAAATGTTTGAAATAAAGTGATGTTGTCAGTAATAAAAAACGGATACCTTTCATCAGGCGAATAAAAAAGACACAATTCCTCCTTTCAGAAAGGGTCAGCCATTTTTAGTGACTTGACGCTAGGCCGAATGCCAAAGTGGAAAAGGCTAATTTATTCTTTATATCTCTAAAGAATAAATTAGACATTTTCACTTTGGCATTTTTTATAATTACAGGTATGTAATAGAGACGTCGGTCCATCTATGTATTACTTTTGCTAAAGTAATAATTTAAATATTTTCAACTGCCAATAATATTCAAAATTATTTCATCAACTTTAAATTTATATTTTTTATAACACAGAATTTGGTTATGGCGTATTGGTCAAGACAAGAGTAAATTCAATAATTTTTCGCCAGAAAAATATTTCGTTATTGAAACATGTTATCTGCCATATTATTTTCCATGATAAAATTGCCATGTGAAATTGTGTATTTTCAGAGTTTATCAAAAAGAAAAGAAGTTCCTGCATGCTTTAAAAAATACAGTAAATTATTCGAAGTTCTCTTAAAACAGATAACAAGCAGATATATTTTTTTTACTTCAAAAATAAAAACTGAATTTAAAATTATTTAGTAACCTAATTCATTTTTATGTAATTACGTGAAGCATCAACCAGACACCAAGTATAACTCGTTGAACTTAAACGCAAGAAATCTTTCTTTGAAAACTTATCATAGAAAACATTCTTTTCTTAAATTTTATAAACAAGTATATTCTTACAATAAATTTCATGATATTTTCAATTTATCTAAACACCTGTTATGCACCTGGGATAGTACATACTGTTGTGAACAATTCTTTTCGTTTATGAAAAACATCAAAATTGCCGAAAGAAATAGGTCGATTAATTTCCCTTTAACTAACATTATTAGAATTAACACAAGTACCAAAAAGCAGATATAAACAATATTATAAACGAAAGAATGTCAAAAATAGCATTAAACTCATTTTTATTTTGTGTAATTATAATTTCTTTTATTACTGTCAACAATACGGTATCATATGTAATTATATATAATTGCTATTAAAATTTGATACTAAAATTTTAAAGTTTTTAAAAGAATATATTTATATATAATACGTTTGTGGCCACAGAATATACCTAAATTTCTATTTTAGCTCATGAGAAAAACAAGTGGGCCAATCCTGCACTTAAATGATGTAGTTTGCTTTAGGTTGCTATTTCAAACTAAAGCAAGAAAAAAGTAGTAAACATTTTCCTAAAACTTTCTTGCAGATAAAAAGGGACCAATATGTGACGTAGTTGACTCCTGTGTACAAATTACCATCCCAAATTTTGTTTTCTGTATCTCTGTATCTCATTCTGAGAAGTACCTCGACCGGTCAAATTTTGCGAAGTATTTTGTGGGCTGTCTTAATCGTTTTTATTGAAAAAAAGTGTAGACTGCAGTAATTTCGACTTGCTGTAGTACATTATAATCGGAAATGCCGTTCTATGCTCAATAGCATTTGAGATAATTTCCCTTCTGTTTTTAGAGATGAGGAAATTCATAAATGCAACAACGAATAGCTCATGTTCGTTAATTCATAAAACACGCATTATATAATATAAAGCTGACGGTTTTCTAAGTATTATCCTCTCTCGCTTATTAGGAGACATCTTGTTTACTTCCCACTTTTGAACAACCTATTATTTTCCCATAATATTTTTAAATTCTCACTTATAACGGAAAAATTCTCATTTCCGTATATATTCAGTTTACAAAACAATTTCTCGCTACAATGCTGTAATATACTACTTGTATAGTTTCATTTTCTTTGTTAGAATCAAATGTTTGTAAAAATACTAAAGTGAATTTGTGTTCAATGTTCAATATAAAGGTTTTAAAAAGATTTAAGCATTACAATAAATTTCCTATATGCTTAATTAGTTAAATCGTTCTTCCTTAAAAAGCGATTTAATTTCGAATTTCCTTGTAACAGAATATTTGTAGTATACATGAAAATTGTTCGTCTTTTGGAAAATTAAATTTTTCTGCAGATTTTTCTAAGAGGTTATTACATCTGAACTCGCAGAAATGCCTGTAACTTGTTATAACGTTTCCTGTAAATATATTATATCTGTTTATCTAAATCAAAGATAATTTACTGTTACATGCCTTGTCGTTGATAATGTGTAGGAATACGTAAAAATTTTTAATAATATACAATATTCAAATTAACTAATATTTTAAAATTGACTTCAAGCAAGTAAACAGATTATGAATTACAATTTCTTCAATTATTCTGTATAATTTTTTATAAACAATTTCAATCTGTAATTGTAATTCAACCTATTTCCTTTGATATTGTAAGTGATTGTCTGGCAGTTAGCAATAAGAAAAATAAAACGTTGGATATAACCTGTTTCTTGTGTACAGAATTAATACACCTTTTATCACATGATTTTTAAAAAATTGTATAGCTTATAAAATAAAATAAACGATTTGATTCTTTTGCATTATAACTTTGCATCTTAGATTATTTACCGAGTGTCCGATCCTGTTCACAAATTAATGGCCAAAATTCTGCATTAAATTAAGTTAAATTCAATAAACATTTTTATATTCGAAATACTCACATTTTCCTTCCAAATGTTTTACACTTTTCAACACTCGACTAAAGATGGTCCACAAAGCACAGAATATTACTAAAAGCACAGCAATCAATATAAATAGATAAGGACAGAGTATCGCTTGAAGAACACACATGCCGGCAATAAGAAAACATCCCTAAAATTAAAGAATATAAATTGCTAATAAGTAATTCGCCGTGTTAAAAATTAAATTTTATAAGTAATCTATTTTTTACACTTCCTTTAAAAGTGTCATCTCTTAGTTAATAATACATACAGTTGGCGGCCGGATGACCGAGCGGTCAAGGTGGCAACCTATCTCTCAGGAGGACCCGGGCTCAAACTCGTTCGGATTCGATCCGGCAAATAAGAAGATTCAAGAAAGAAGAAAACGACACATAGACTTGGTCGTAGCTGGCATAAATACATTAACTCGGTGGTGTTTATGTTAAAAGTTAGATTACAGTGCTAATTTTACTTTTAGCGTGTTACATTTATTTAACGTGCGAATTACACACGGGTGTTTTACCCGTGTGTAATTCGCAAAAAATGCCTTTGCAAATGGCTGTTCGTGTTAAATGTTCATTACTTTTTATAATTTATTTTACGTAAATCGATATATTTAAAATTAACTTACTCTTATCAGTAGGAAAGTAAAGAAAGGTAACAACTCATCCATGGACTTAACATCTTTGGAAAACCGAATTAAAATTTTCCCTAAAAAATATAATTAATATCAAAAATATTAATTAAATTAAATATTTATGTAAAAAACATTTATTCGAATATGATTGTTATTGTTAATAGAAATACCACGCAGTGTGGCTATAAAAATGTAGTTTTCCGGGATTATTATATTTTAAACATTTTACAGGATACATTTTATGGAAAATATGATTTTAACATTACGGAAGTGAGGTTTATAAATTTGTAAATACAAATACTCCTAATTATAGTTTTATAAATTGATTTTGTTTAAAACAGATGGAATATAATGCACTCTTTTGAAGTATGTATACATAAACTTCTACGTCTAAAAATTACTTATGTATTATTAATTGAAATTGATAATACAGAAATCACTTCAATGTGTAACTCGCTGACAAGAAATGATGAATTCTGTAGTTTCCAACTATAATATAATATAATAATTAAATATAACTAAATAAACCAGCAACTTGTCGTTGAACTTTTTGGTAACATTGATAATTTTTATGGCGTTATCTGTTATCATATTTTTTAAAAATATTTTATATTATAAACTATTATAAAATGTTATGAAGCTGAAATTAAAGGGTAGAAATGAGTTTTATAGAAAATTTTAAATGATAATAACAAGTATAATCAACATTAAGTCTGACCCTACTGCAGATACACACGACCCCTATTATCTCTTTCCATATACTTTTCTCGAAATTTAACCACCAATATTTAATAGCATCGATTTCCTAATACGCAAAATTCCGTGCAAAAGTTCAAAATATTTCAACAAAATACACAACTTAGTTAATTAAAGTTTAACAGACAGTGAAAAAATCTTGCTTCCATTCCAATACACCTATATGCACACGCGCACACGCACTAACATTCATACCTTGTACTGTACATTCAGAAATTACCCCGAATGTTTTTGCATTTCTCGACGTTTCAAGGTGTTCTAAGCCAAAAGGATTAAATGTTGGCAGGTCATTTTTTGAACGATCACCATCGTTTTTTACTGTTATATATAACAGCCAAAAAAGTAATAACTCAAAAAGATTAATTTTTTCTTAGAAAATTAAAGTAAATAAAAACTAGAAATCGTAACTTTCTATAATCCAACAAAAGTGGCATTCATACATACATAACTACAAGAAAAACATCGGCGGTACACAAAGTGTTTAGCATGTGGAAAAGAAAATAAGGGAAAGGAAAGGGGAAGAAGGAGGAAGAAGAGATAGATAGTAGAGAAAAGTAGGATCTTTCTAAACAGCGTACGTATGGCTACAGTACTCTCTATGTTTAATGTTCGCGTGCAGCTTCTAGGCTGCAAGACCATATTCTCCCGAAGAGTCTAAAAAAACCCGAGTGTAGAAAACACCAACAATTGAGTGCTGCCACGAATAGCTAAGTGTAGAAGTCAGTGGCAAATGCCTGTTAGTAGGAAAACTTCCATCTACTGAATACAAATAATGCTGAACTCGAGCCCGAATTGTAACAGCTATGTGAGAATACGGACGAGGGTCAAGGCCCTCTAATCGTCAGATCTGTTAGATCTGCTCACTTTGTCACTGGATGGCTTATTCTTACAGAACCGGAGTGGTAAGATTCTGTGTGGGGTTGTGCATAAGAAATAAATACTCGACTAAGAATGTCATATAATATAAAATGAACACTTTAATCACTGAACACCAACACAACAAGGACAAATAAAATAATAACAAAACATAGTTGTAAAACATAAGTCTAACTTAAGACTAGTATCAGAGCATTTCAGAAAGAGAACTTACAAACTTTTACCTCGATGTTCATTGTTGTTAATCTCGGGGGATATCAGGCTTCAGGCAGGAGAGGCTGGGAACAGGCACAGTGGACATATCAAAAACATTCTCTATATGGCAATAAACTGCCTGTTCCTTATGGCATGTTCTATCTGGGATGAACTGCCTCGAGTATCTGAAAATCTGCCCTTTTATTACCGATTATTTCACAACAACAATTCGTAGAGATGTTGTGTCATTTGACCAGGTGGTGTGCAAAATTCTAAGTTAGAAAATGTGGAGGAAGAGCGCAAAACATTCTCATTTCTTGTTAAAAGTTGCGTGACAGAGCAGTTTTTCAGGATGTTGAAGTTTTGTAACCTTTTTAGGTTATATTATTTTTATTCCTAATTTTTATCATTTTTAAACATTTTAAGCAAAAATTAAAGTAAATTATTTATTTAAATTTGTTTAGGGTGAAAATGAACTAACTCAATTTCAGAGTCCCTCCAGATTATCACAGCTATACAGCCAGCACGAAAACAAAACAAACACAACAACAAACTATACCAGACTAACATACCAACAGACACAAACGACCAAAAGCCCAACATTTTTATTTATTTATTTACTTATTTTGTTTTTATTTTTTTAAACGTTAAGGTACTTACTAACTAAACTAACTTACCATAACTTAGAACAAACTTAACCCAACGACTAAAGCTAACAAACCCTAATCTAATTTAAACTCACCTATCATAACCTAACCGGAAACCAAGCTAAGAGTCCCTAATCTAACCTACAACTAGGACTAACCAAATTTAGACTAAAAAAAAAACAGAAAATAAGAATTAAAATACAAAGTTGAAAGGCAGCTATAAATTGACAGTTGAAACAAAGCAAAATAATACTAATAGCCATTCGTGCCAAAGTGAGTACTCTCAATAGCCCCACTAAGAGATATGAATGCCAGTAGATGATAGAACTTTGTAATGTGTGTGAATGAGTTTGTGCGGGTTGCAAAGTCAGTTGTACCTTTCAAGAATAGCTATCCCTAATGTGATTGTACCTATTTCAGTGAAAAACTAAGTGAAATGATGTTTGGCTTTTTTGAATACCACAATCACATTTCTGGATTGTCCCCAAGGTTATATTTATATGTGAAATCCGGAATTTTACCGATTTTTTCTGATTAATGTCCCGTTTTACCTAAAAACTTAATTGGTTTTTATTAAATTCTCCTAGAAAATAGAGGAAACCAGATAGAAAAAGAAATTTCCACCTCACCCTTTTTTTCTCAAAGTAAAAATTCGCCCATCTCGACAATATTCACACACTACGAACTTAAAAGTTGATAGTTAACATACGATTTCGTCATTTTATTTGGGTTCTGGGGACAACTTTGATCTCCCCGCACACCTTTTACCCTACAACTAATTAGTGACATGACAGTTTTTTCACCGGGAAACGATAAAAGCCGCTTTTCTCCCCCTCCGGGGAGTCGCTCCCGAGGATTTAACTATAGTTTGTGCCCTACGTTTGTGCTCTATGTTTTATTCTCTAGAATATCTAAACCCATAAAGAGGTATGGAACTAATTTTTGTGAACTCTCTCTTGGCAATTTGCGTTTTACGGACTCAGAACATTTCCTCGATAATAGTTATTGTATCGTATATATAGGAACTAATAAATCGTTATTTCTGTGTTAAATTGGTGTCCTCTTTTACTCGTATATCGCCTGTAACATTACCGACGGCACTCCTCCCTCCTCCACTTGACCCGCAAAATTTTAATCCCGTTACCTCGGGATAAACTAAAGAAACTTTAAGCCATCTCTGACAAGTGGGCAAGTCCCTCCGACTTGAAAGCCGATCACGGAAATACGAAGTAGTCATACTCCCTTGGTTCTCACATATGCAAGTATTGCTTAAAGCTGCTGTGTTCCGTAAGTAGCTGAGTGAAACTGTAACTAGATTAAAAGTGGTGAAAAGTCACGGTGTTGGCAACCTTAGGATGAAAGTGTAGTTGAGCCTATCAGTGGTGTCATGGTCCCAGCTGTCTTGCAAGAGAAAGAAGATTTGCTTTTTGACATGATTGTTGATGTATCAGGAAGAAACGTAACTGAAAGTACTAGTGACTGAAAACTGTAGCTTGTTTGACAAGCTGGTAAGCGGTTTCTTTGCCAAGAACCCACGATGATCCGGGACCCATTGAAAACATTGAATATTCTAATGTTGTTGTCTACGTGTCTGAGAATTAGGTGTATGAGATGGACGATTTTTAAATGGATATCAAAATTAGAATGTTAAGGTGCTATGTGATGTCAGTTTTGTTTTATGGAGTAGAAACGTAGACCTTAAATAAAAATATGTTAAACAAACTTGAAGCATTCGAAATGTGGTTATATAGAAGAATTTTAAAGATATCTTGGACAGATAGAATAACAAATGATGAAGTTTTGCAAAGAATGAGGAAAGAAAAAGAAGTTTTAAGTACAGTTAAAAGTAGAAAGACTGGGTATTTTGGCCACATCATCCGAGGAAGTAAATATGAAATTTTGAGAAATATTTTAGAGGGAAAAATCTGTGGAAAGAAAAGCCCAGGAAGGAGAAGGAAAAGTGGGTTGGGTAATATATGTGAATGGAATAATAAGAAAGCAGAAGAACTAACACGTGAAGCACAATTGAGATTGTTATAATACTAGTCCTACATTCAAAAATGAATATGGAACCAGAAGAAGAAGA